GAAAGAGTCTGAGAATTCGCCGCTGTCCCTTCTCCTGCACCACAGCTTTTCTTCAAGCCCCAGCTGCCTTGGTCCATGGGCTCCCTCCGGCCCAGGAGATCGCCTGCAGAGCAAGGCTCCAGAGCCTGCCCCCCCCCAGGGCTGGCAAAGCTGCCATCCCAGCAGCAGCCACTCACACTCCTGCCCCGAGTCTCTCTCTGGGCGTCTGGATGGAAAGTAGCACTTGTGACACACACAGCAACAGGAACAGCAGCAGTCATGTCAGCATGAAGCAAACATGGCATTGCTTACAAGGTGCAGCAGCAAGGTGTGCTGGGGACCACCCTGCACAGAGCCTAGATGATATCCGTCTCCCTCTCTATGCCGACATACTTCAGGGCGTCTGCCTGGCTGTACCTACAAGATAGGAAAGTCACGGCTGCTGTAACGACCTCCCACGCTCCACACAAACATGCGCACAGAAAGCGGGGTCAACCCTGCACCCCAGTCCCCAGCCGGCCTCTTCCCAAGGTACCTGTAATCAAAGAAGAGCTCCTCTCCTGCCTGGATGGCCCTCTTGGCAAAGATCCCTATCCGGTGGTCTCCGTTCACCATCACAACTGCAACCAGAGAGACGACATCAGAGGCAGCTCCAGCTCAGGCCAGGAGGTTCTCACAGCACTTTTGCCCTGCCCGGCCAGCTGCCGGTCCCTGGGGCCGTGGTACCCGAGCTCCTGCCTAGCAGGAGCCGCTCTCTAGCGGTGATCTCTCCTTGTGAGGCCAGGGCCACCGCAGAGCTGAGCAGGGCCCTCACCAGCAGGAACATGACCTGCTGCAGAGAGGAGGGGACTTTGTCCAGCTCTTTGAAGTTCTGCTGCTCCCACAGGCTCAGGGCAACTTGGGACCCCTGGAGAATCCACTGCAATCCCAGAGCTGAGCAGGACCCCAGAGAACCTTCCCCCACCGAGATCTGACTGGGCAGGGATATCTCACCTTTGGCATAGCAATTGGGGTTCACCGAGTGATTGGCAAAGCGGATTTTATTTCCTTTGCGGGTGGCATCAACAACAAAATCTATTAAGGAAAAAAAGAAGAAAACTGTAGTGTAAAGACAGGCCTGCTGCTCAGGCGACAGATAGACTGAGACTGCCCGCCCAGCCACCAGCCCCCTGCCAGGACGCCCAAGTCTCCTCCACCCCTCGAAGCCCCAGGCCAGTTACCGTTGTTGAGGTTGAAGAGGAAGCTGGACATGTACTTGTCATAGACCTTCCCTCGCCGGTCAGCCTCATCCTGTGAAATAAGCTGGAGAAGGAGAACGCCTTGAGAGACTGAGGGCACAGCGAGGATCACTGCGAGGAGCAGTGCTCACCTACCTCCTGGAAACAGCCTCCCGCCCTCCCACCCCACGGGCAGGAGCTCGCCAGGGCTCCCAGGGAGGGAGCAGAGACAAAAGCTGGGCTCCCAGGGAGCGGCACATACACAACACGCTTCTCCACGGTGGAGGGCCTGGAGGTACTGAGATGGGTCCCAAAATGGTGCAAGATTCAATCTCTAAACCTGGTCAGACTGAGCCGATAGCCTCAGCCGAGCTGGGGAAGGCTTGCTGTCCCCGCCGGACCAGCAGCCGAAGGAAGCACTGTCACTAAACGCAGCCTCCCGAGCACGGAGCGCAGCAGCCCCAGCACGGGCAAAAGCACTGACCTCACCACAGTACTCAGAGATGAACTCATTCTTCTGCACAGATTCCTTGATGAAAGTCCCCCAGCCAGCGACATCCGACGGTGCCAGCAACAAATGCTGGAGCCAAGGTGAAAAGGAAACAGTTATGGTCAGCAGGCCCACCACCTCCCAGCACACAGAGATCACACCGCATGCATCAGGCAGGCCAGAAAGCAACAGTGAAGAGCTCTCCACTTCCCAGCACAGTTGCACACGCCGGGGTTAGGGCAGTGCCCAGGAACAGCCGTGCTGCACTGGCTGCCACACTCGGAGTCCCAACATCACAGGGTTGAGTAACTCTGAGGAGCAAAGGGGAGCCAGTCTCTTCTACCCAGCACACCCTGGTTTAAGGTGACACATGGCTCCCTACAGACTTACAGGTCATAGCACTATTAGGCTGGAGCTGCACATTATTTGACACCCACTAATTTGCATCTTTCTCTGAAGTTTGGTCCTTTTTAAGTGCAGTCCCTTGCCCTGACCAGCAGAATTCAAGACCTAACCTTTCTCTGGAGTCACTTCTTACACTCCCTTGTTCTCACCCTTCCTCATGTAACTCCCGTCTCCCAATTTTCACGTCCATAATCCATACTCTAGATTAAGTGCTACAGAAGCCCGGGGCAGAGCAGCTTCTCTTCCAGACCTCCTCACGCAGACAGCTGCGGGCAGCTCGCACACCCTCTCCCACGCAGCAGGAGCTCTGTTTATCAGCTCTACCCTGAGGCAGCCCCCTGCCAGCAGTCCAGAGCCACGCTGCTGTCAATACCTTTTTGAGACCTCGCTGGATGCTGCAGTTCTTGCAGGAGACCACCTTGCAGTCCCAGTGCTCCGAAGCCCCACAGGTCAGGCAGAGGTCTGGATCGCACTCCCGCACAGCCAGGTAGCATGGGCACTGCTTGGTGTTGCACTGGGTTTTACAGCGGCAGCCTGGGAAGCGGTTCTGACCTGCAGCAACACAGCCCACAGTTTTGCACCATGAGGCTTTCAGCCCTGCAGGAACACAGAAGCTCCTCCTGAGCCAGGTCTCACCCTGGCAGGCCCTGGGCAGGTACAGAAGTAAGCCTGTCCGTGACCAAGGGCCACGCTGCCTGCCCACCACCCTGCTAACATAAGGAAGGTGCCTTTGTGCTAATAAAAAGCTCTACACCCACTCTGCTCTGGGCAGCAGAGATAGGAGCCCCCAGACCGCCTTCCTGCCCCCAACGTCACCAGGACAGTGCTCACTAAGAACACAATGAGACAAGGTGAACGTGAGGCAGCCTGGGCGCCCAGGAGCTGGAAACAAATCATAGAAACACTCTGCGTGCACGGGAGCTTTGAGTACCGCTCACACCTAGCAGAGCACAGATCATGTACAGGGTCCTTCCCATCTGCATGGCTGGAGATGCTGATCTGCCTCTTGGGACTAATTATGTGCAGTTTGAAAATAAACAGCTTGGATAGTATAAACATAACAGATCAGTACAGAGAATCCTGGAGCCTGAATTGGCTCCATCACCCTGTAGTCCTTCCAGCCCCAACTGTGTCATAACCCTTAACCCTCAGAAGCCCCACTGATGTGGGCAAGTGTGGTTATCTCCATTGCAGAGCTAGGAATGGAAGCCCAGAGAGGAAAAATAACCATGGCAGAGCAGTGACCCAACTCCCACCCTAACTGCTGGCCACACATCCTGCTCCCAGGGAACCAGCAGCATCACCCATGGGTTGTTGATGCTGGATACAGACATGCAGACGAGCATTCTCTAACAAGAGCGCGTATCTCAGCTGCTGAGAGTCACGGGACAGCATGGAACAGTTTCCCCTTGGACTTTAGCAGAGTGCTAATCTAACTGCTGCAAATGGACGGAGCAGTGAATGCAGGAGTAAAGCAGGCCTCCAGCAAGTCCCAGCTCTGCACCCCCCCTCTGTCTGTGTCAGGAGAGCTGGCTGCTTTCCTGCCCAATAGTCCTAGGTTTCTCCTTACAGTCAGGGTTGCACTGGCAGAACTTCTCACAAAAATTCTGAGTCATGATGCAAGGACAGGAGCTGTCACAGGGATGCTCGGGGTGGTCACAGGGTTGGTAGTTGTACACCTGGGTAGGTGAATTATCTAGAACAAGAGGAGAAATGCCCGGATTAGAAGCTGCACATTGCAAAAATGTCTGAAAGTAGCACGCCCAGGGCTCTGGAGCAGAGAAGGTGCAAGCTCGGCGTTTGCCTGCAGAGGGCAGGGAGCCCAGCAGCACCTAGCGCACAGCTCCCGCAGACACATGGCTGTGATTACCGACACATGGCACACGCCTGCTCTGCCCGGAACAGCCCATTTTACAGCGGGGCTGCCCGCCAAACCTCAGCCTCCCCTCTGGCTGGAGCGAGACCGCACTGCACGTACTGCCTCAGCGAGAGCGCTGGCACAGCGGTGATTCCCACGGCACAGTGCAGCGGGGCTGGCCCGCGGCACCCCACGGAGCCCGGCTGGGGGGACCTGCTCCCCCTCTGTGCTGCTGCAGCTGCGGGGCTGGAAAGCAGGACACGGCCGTCCCGCTGCACGAGTCAGAGCCGGAGAACTAGATCCTGTGGGTGAGCGGCCTTGCAAACCTCGCGTGACGCAGCCACAGCAAACGCTACCTTTCTTCAGCTGAATCTTCCTGCAGTGCGCAGCCCACAGCCTGGAAGAGAAGCAGAGAGGGTCTGAGGGGACGCGCGAGCCTCCGTCAGGAAGAGCCGGCCACGACTGCTCGGCACTGCCAGTCAGCGCGGCAGCGGGACCCAGGCGATTCCAGCGAGGCTGTCTGGCAGCTTCATGCATTAATAACCATCAGCCGGCCGTAAAGCAGAGAAAGATGAGAACAATGCAACTGCAGCATTAGTTATTTAAGGCAAATGCTAGAGCCAGAATAATACTGGACACAGTGGGATCAACACACAAAAAGTAGGTTGTAAGTCAGGGAGCTGAGGCTAAGGCTGCCGTTAGGACAGCGGTACCGGCCCTCCGGCAGCAGTGTGGCACTGCAGCCAGGCACCGTGCTGCCCTCTCCTCCGGGGCTGAGCCCAGGGCCACAGAGCCTCCCAGCCAGGGCAGCAGCACCAGGGAGAGAGGCCAGGAGCCAGCGCCCAGCCAGCAGCACCAGCAGCCCTGTGTGACAGCAGGACGTGTGCGCAGATGGGAGCCAGATGGGGATTACCAGGAATGCTTTGGCACAAAAAGCAGTGGATCTGGTTGCATTTTAAGAACAAAACAAGCTTGTCCAACACTTGCCTGTGCTTCCTTTTCTTCTTCTGGGATGGATTCATTAATTCGTTTGTTGGCAGTTTTGTTATAAGTGATTCTTTCACTGCAAACTGAAAGACCTACCAAAGAACAGAAGCAAAAAGAAGAATGAAGTTCAGTGTACTCAAGTTGTTTTTATCTAAAGCATAAATAGAGAGAGTGTAAGCAAGCACACACAGGGGGGGTCCCAGTCCCTGGACCAGTAAGCGGGCAGTTCTGCCCCCAGTTTCACTGGCCACGGCTGTCATTGCTTCTTTTGCCTGGGAACAAGAGCTCCCACCCTGCCGGTGCGCCCAGCCTCAGACAAGGTACTCTGGAGGAAGCCAAGAGCACTGGGCATGCGCGGGGCTCGTTCTGCAAACAGCAGCAGTACTGCAAAATAACAACACTGAAGTCCACAAAGTGTTGATGCAACACATTCCTCGAGGAGGTTTGTGGCAGAGAAGCAAAAACAACAGGCAAGCAGCGGCGAAGGCCTCCCTCCTGCCGCTGTGCC